TTTATCAATACATCTTAACATTAAAAATATTAAGATATATTTAATCACTTTCACAAGATAAGAGTAACATAAAATAAATTCTATTTAAATCTTATTTATCATGTGTTGGAATTACATGTTTTGATAACATGTGTTGAGATTAAATATAGTGATACTTTTAATTCTACCTCTTAATTTTTACTTTTTTATTTTATTCATTTGACCTTTTAAGAATCTTTTTAATTAATTTGCCTCCCTCAATAATAGTAGACCCCTCTTAGAATTTTCGTTATAATTTTGTTTTTTATTTTGCCCCAGTTGCATTGTATGCCAAAAAAATTAAAAATCATAATATTAAAAAATTAAAATAGAAAACAGAAGAATTTAAATTAAATCCACCATCAGAAAATAAAAGCTTGCTAATCCAAAGATCTTGCAGGTTTCAAGGGGAAATAACCGAAGCAAATAATAATAATAATAATAATAATAATAATAATAATATCTCCAATTCCTCCGTAAAATTTACTTGATCTTCTTCTTAGGCCTCAACTGCAAACAAAAAATAGGGGCAATCAATGTTTTTGTGGCAAAAAGATATTATAGAAGAAAATATGGCTGATGGAAATAAAATTTAATGGGCAGGGAAAAAGACCTGGTTGCTATGACCACACTTTTTCTTCCTACAGTTCACAGCCCTTGGATGCAGACGAGCATAACACCTGACCATGAAAATAATACAATTAAATCACCAGAAAGAAACACAGAAGATCCACAAAATTGCACATTTCCATCAACTAAGCTACAAGTTTTTCATAAAAATAAAAATGAAATAGAAAACATAATACTCATGGGTTGGAGACTAGAGAAGAAATTAAAAGACAATGCAGTGAATAGCCAAGCTCCCGAAAATAACAGCCAACTCCTAGTAACAGAAAGCACCAATGCACAAATCATAAAAGCTTAAACTGCATCAATAATACTAAGAAACACAACATAGCCATCATTCACAGAACCATCCATGAACACCTATCAAAAAGGTGGTAACAAGAATAACATCCTATTCCCTGCGCTAATAAAAAGAACACACATACATTCGTAAGTAAAAGGAATCCATAGATTCCTATCAATACCACACAAAAGTCCAGCCATGCACATTGTCCAGAACCATAATTACTAGGTTTATTGTCCAATAAACCATAATTCTAGCTACCTAGTTAGATTAGGTGCCATTCTGAGCAAATCAACTGCAAATAAGTTAGCGCAGCTGATAAAGTTGAAGAGCAGAATTTAATTTTGGGACTAGGATGCCCTCCATTGCATTCTCTACAGAAAAAGGAGGGTTCAACATGTAGTCCCGTCAAAGAACAAAATAGACCAAAGTGCAAAACTCATTAATTCTACCTTCTCGGACCCAAGTCATAATCAAAATAGACCAAATTCCTAGATTTCATAAGGAATATCACAATAAGCAAACAAGTAGTGAAATGTGCCATTCACGAAAATCAACTGCTAAAGTAAATGAGCACAGCTGATAGAGTTAAAAGAATGGGAAATTGTTCTTGGGACCTTGTATGACCTCTATCCCATTTAGCAAGCAACAAGTAGAGGCTAAGTGAGGTCCCAGTACACTAAACTAAAGGTAGAATAAACAAGCAAATTACAAAGGGCAAAGAAAGAGGCTTACTTGCGGCAAATCATCTTGTCCTGATTGTATTTGCGAGCCAAAGCCATCAAAGAAGGCTCAATGATTCCTCCTCTCAGCCTCAACACCAAATGGAGTGTAGACTCTAATCAAACCAAAGAATCCAAATTAACAATCCGAGCAGGATTAGAAACAGCACTGATAAACAGAACAGTTCCAAACTAAGACCTTTCTGGATATTGTAGTCAGCTAAGGTGCGGCCATCTTCGAGCTGCTTTCCGGCGAAGATGAGACGCTGTTGATCCGGCGGGATTCCTATGAATACAACGGAGTTCGTGATTCCAGAAAAACAATAACACGAGCAGTTTGCAGCGGAGGAGGAAGAAGAATCAAATGGTGGATTACCTTCCTTATCTTGGATCTTCGCTTTGACATTGTCGATGGTGTCGCTGCTCTCGACCTCGAGAGTTATGGTCTTGCCGGTTAGGGTTTTCACAAAGATCTGCATCTTCTCTCCCTCGCGCCTCTCCACGAACGGCTTCAGGTTAAGGAGGAAGCCATTTTAAACTCAGTTTCTAGGGTTTCATTTACAGGGTACAAAATATTGGGCTACCTAAGATCTTAGGTCCAATGGGTTCTTTCACACACAAAACAGGACCTATTGGCTGAGTTACTTGCGCCCTTTTGTAGAGCCCAATAGTATTTACAACTTTATTATTGTTATTATTTTTTGGGGATAATGCCGATCAACTGTGCCTCTTAAAAATTATGAGGTAATACTTAATAAAACGACGTCGTTTTATATTAAGTTCTCATATCCATTGTTTTAATTTTTTTTTTTCGACCAGCCCTTTTTCATTTTTTTTCACTGACAACCTTAATTTCTCAGATCTCAGTCTTTCCCAATTGATTTCCTTCTTCCCCTCTTAGATTTCACTATTATTTTACTTTGATTTACTTTGAATTTTGATTAATCATGGGTGCTTGAGGGGTGCAGGGAAGAGTTAATTGTTTGGGATTCTTTCGACTAGTTCTTCACCATCGTCTTCGAATCGATTTAGCGAGGAGGTCTAGCTTTTTGTGCGCTTGGGGCTGCACTTGAGGCAACGAGGAAGATTCAATTTTTTTGTGCACTTGGGGTGACTTCGACTTTGTCAAAAGGTATCTTTTCTATTCTCTCTCTCTCTTTCTCTCTCTTTTTCTTTTTGTTTTATGTTCCAGTTTTTGTCTCTTATACTTTCTTTTTATATCGACCCTTTTGTTTGAAGTATGACTTCTCCAGTTTCTCAACAAATGATTGAGGAGATTGATCCTATACAATCAACAAATGATGCTGCAAAAGAAAGGAATGAGTTTGAGGGATTAGAGTTTACCAGTGATGTTGCTATCTCTCATGATGTGGCAGAAGGTGAGGAACATGGAGAATTGTTGGGTAAAGCTGGAGAATGGATGCCTTATGAAGGAATGCAATTTCCATAAGGGGATGAAGCTTGTGGACTTTACAATGGATTTTACATGTTTAACTTGTTTTTTTTTGGTAGAAACAAATGCCATGTTATTTGCTTTAAAGTATAAAATATTGGCTGCATTGTTAACTTTAACTAACCTTTGGTGAAGTGCGTTACCATTGAGAAACATTTTTTGGATAATAAGGTTTAAGTAGCTTTTTATTCTACATGGATTTGTTTCTTCTATTACATATTCCTACTTCAAAGGAAAAATTTATTATGTCAAAATAACTATTCTAGTCCAAAAAATTTATTTGTACTTTAAAATTTTGCTTTTATGTTGATTGAATCAAAATGCCTCCTTTGGTTCAGGGTAGACCATTTGGTGTTTCATGGACTTTATTTAGTTCTTTTATGCTTCATTGCTCAACTCCATACAAATTCTCTTTTCATCACAAATTCATAAAACCAACTAGGCAAATAGGCAAATAGAGCAATATAAGTGAAATTAAATCCTATAATATCAAATACAAATCAGAAATAAGGTGTTTGGTGTACATAGGAAGTTTAATTCATGCTCATTCTGATTGCTCTGTATTCCTTTACGAGTCCACATACTAAGAGAAAAAATTTACCATCCCTCAAGACCATAATCAGCTTCCACCCCCAAACATCTAAGACCATCAACAACACCTAGACCTACCATATCTACCATCTTTTTAGTATTTGTTGTTAGAAAGCTAAATATGAAATAAAACCCAATTACAACCAGCGCCAAAGCACCAAACTTTTCAATATCGCAGCCAACTTCATGATCAAACCTAACATTTAATTGAGTGAAACCCAAATCAAAAACAAGAAGAGTTCCATATTTAGCTAACTTTGCACCACACTGAGCACTAATATAATCCAATAAAAATACTGAAAAAACTAGAAACCGCAAGCCACCCCCTCATTAAATCAACTACTTCTCTCTTCATCATGAAAATCATAAACCCATCCTGAGAGCTTTCCAAAGCAACACAAAGAAAAGCTAGAAACTGTAAACTACCTCCTCACTGAATTGACTCAATGATGAATGGTGAAGAATGAGTCGAAGGAAACCCCCAAAAAAGCTAGAAATCCCTACCTCTTCCTCACTGAATCGATTCAAAGATGATGGTGAAGAACTAGTCGAAGGAGCCCCAAACAATTCACCCCTAAAGCGCCCAAAAAAGCTAGAAACCCTTGCCTCATCCTCAATGAATCGATTTGAAGATGATGGTGAAGAACTAGTGGAAAGAATCCCAAACAATTAACTCTTCCCTGCACCCCTCAAGCACCCATAATTAATCAAAATTCGAAGTAAAATAATAGTGAAATCTAAGAGGGGAAGAAGAAAATCAATTGGGGAAGACTGAGATTTGAGAAATTAGGGCTGTCAGTGAAAAGAAGATGAAAAGGGACTGGTTGAAAAAAAAAATGAAAACAATGGATATGAGAACTTAATATAAAACAACGTCGTTTTATTAAGTGTTACCTCCTAATTTTTAAGAAGCACGGTTGACTGAAATTATCCCCCTATTTTTTTTACACTAAACTTTTGATATCAAAAAGTCATATTAAATCTTAATTAATTCAGAGTTAAAAACTCTTCAAACACCTATCTCTTCATTTACAAGATTTGAATATAAGATTTTAGTTAAAAAGAATTAAATTCTTTCTACTCAAA